AAACTTTATGCTTGCTAGGAATTATTATTTGCTTAATTGTGTTAATTTGGCAAGGATGAAATTTATATCGGGCTTAAAAAAATGTGTAAAAGTTAGCAGATTTAAGTCTAGTTAAAAAAATATTCTAATATGTCTGATACTAACCATGTTCGTGACCATCGGGAAATAGCCCGAGATTTGGACTTGTACATTTTGAACGAAAAAGCGGGACAGGGTTTGCCAATTTTGTTACCCAATTGAGTAATTATTCGCAATCAAATCCAAAAATTTTTGTGGAAAAAGCAAAAAGAACTAGGATTTCAAGAAGTAATTAGCCCAATTTTAGGCACCGAACATTTATATAAAATTAGTGGCCATTTGGAGCATTATCACGACTATATGTTTCCGGTCATCAGTCGTAATAACGAAGCCTTTCGTTTGCGACCTATGACTTGTCCTCATCATTGCTTAATTTATCACCAAAGACCACGTTCTTACCGTGACTTACCATTGCGTCTTTGTGAAAACGCAATTTTATACCGTTACGAAACTTCGGGCTCGCTTAAGGGTTTGGAACGACTTCGTTGATTTGAATTACCCGACCACCACATTTTTGTTACGGAAGAAAAATTAGCCGAAGAGTTACAAGTTAATTATCGATTTATCGCTAATATTTTAGCCTTTTTCAACTTACAAATATCGCGTCTAGTGTGTTCGCTACACGACCCGGCAAAACCTGAAAAATACTACCCGAACGAAGATTTGTGAAACTACGCGGAAAATGTTCTTATTAACTCTTTAAACGAACTAAAATTAAATTACATTATTCTTAAAGGAGAAGCGGCTTTTTACGGCCCGAAATTAGACGTCGAAGTCAAAGCCGCTGACGGAAAAAACATTACTCTCGCCACTATGCAACTGGATTTCGTTTTGCCTCAGAAATTTGGTTTAAATTACATCGATAAAGAACAAAAATTAAAAACTCCGGTGATTATTCACCAAACTCCTCTCGGTTCTTACCAGAGGTTTATTGCTTTATTACTGGAACAAACAAACGGCAAATTACCTTTTTGATTAGCTCCGGTACAGTTAGTTATTCTGCCAATAAACAACCAAAAAGAAGTCCAAAAATACAGTGAAAATTTACAAAACAAATTACTATCTAATAATTTCCGCAGCGAAATCTGGACTGAAAAAACTTTAAATTATCGCATTAATCAAGTTCATCGCAAAAAAGCACCCTACTATCTGGTAATCGGAGAAAAAGAGTTGAAAAATAAAAAAGTAAAATTAGCAACTGAAGAATTGACCGAAGAGGAATTGCTAGAAAAATTACACAACCAGAAAGGAAAAACGTAACTTTGAGAAAAAATCGCCAAGAAAAAATAAATTGCGAGGAGCCTTAAACCCTCTTGCCCCTCTAATATTTATTGAATTCCAGCTAGGTCGCGACTGGGAAAAGGTTAAGTTTCAATGGCTTGATACTTCCTCGTTCCCTCCTGGAATTGAGTATTTGTTAGAATTCAAACTGGGTATTTGAAAGACTGTTAAAGGGTGAAAGTTGCTAAAAAACCAAAAATGATTGTCACAATAGTCAGTAATTTGTAAAAAAAAAGGCGAAAGAAGTTAAAAAGAATGAATAATGATTTATTCAAGTCAACATACACGAAAGGTCAGATTAACTTAGTTTGAATTTAGAAAGCTGTTCTAGATTGCATCACGAACTTCCTCTATATATTTTTTTAATCCTAGTTCCCAACTCAAACCTTTTTTAATGGAGTTAGCGGAGATTAAGCGGGTTAATTATGAGGACCTTCATAATTTTTTAGCCGAGGACCATAACTGATTTAGTGTTTTAAATGTTAGTCTAAAAAGTATTGCCAGCACCAAGCGAACCAGTATTACCTTATCGAAAAAAAAACATACTTTTTGACCAATTCTTTCTGCGGCCAATATTGGATAGCAAATTTCTTGTGTTGGTTGATTGTTGTTTGGCATAACACATATACATTAATTACTACATAATAATTATACGCGCTTTTCCTTTTTACTAAAAATTAATTTATGAGTAATAGCGATAATGAACTAGAAAAAGTTTTAAAGCCTGGAGCGGTTAAAACTTCATTTGTTAAATTGGCTTATCCTCTTCTGAGCCCGGGAAGTTGGTGTTTCAATCCCAAGGAAAAAAAAATCTTTTAATGGATAAAAATCGCCAAAATGCTAATTTTTACTTAGTAACTGTTGCTTATGATGGTAGTAATTTTTGGGGTTGGGCTAAACAGCCGAATAAGTTTACTGTTCAGGGGTATATTGAAAATGTAATCGGCCGTATTTTCCACTTAGAAGTTAGTATTTTAGCCAGCAGCCGCACCGACAAAGGAGTTCATGCTCGAGAGCAAAAGTTTACTTTGTGGTTACCTTTTTTTCTGCCAGAAAAAAGTCTGCTCAATATTCTCCGCCGACAATTCCAGGAGTGTATTGCAATCAAAAAAGTCCAGAAAGTAG